CACTAGGTTGTAGTTTAATGTCGATATGATGTTTTGTTCTCAGTTATTGTCAGTACTGTAGTTATATTTATTTACAGCACACTCAGTTGGTGCTGGATATTAAATGCTCAGAAGTTGTGACTTGAATGTATTTATTGCTTTCACAAAGGTGTAGTTTTCACATGTCGGGTGGGGATGTTTTATTTCTAGGCCAATACAGCAGATGCTCAAGAACATACTGCTATTTGACACAATTTTTATTTGTTTCAGGCATTATAAATTTAACCCTGGCTTCAGGCATTATAAATTTAACCTTGGCTATTTCCACGTGAGGTGGATGTTAGGTAATATTTGTGTACAAACGAGAGGAACTCTCTTTTTAGCTAAAAACCTGTCTACTGTCTGTGTGTTCACTCAGTCTGCCACAGCTCATCTCCTTTTGTAGTTTGGACTCGTGGTCTTTCCTCGTCTTTTATTTTTATTTTCCAGTGGTTTTCTCTATTGATCTTCTCTTATGTGTATATGGGTGTGCCTTGACTCACCTTGGTACATCTGCTGGTTCAAAAAGTGTCATGAGGTGGATATTCATTTCATCTTTGCTCTCTCAAATTTGAAATTCTTCAAAGTCTCAACTTGTTTCTTGCCGGTGTCCCATTGGCCATCTCCTTGTTTCTAGTTGTTTAGTTGTTTTTTTCTTCTCTTGCCTTCTTAGTCGAAGGGTACTTCTGCATTTATTGATACTGAAGTAGTTTCTCTTTTGGCAGATTCCAGTATCTTGGAGGGCTGAAACAGCTTCTCTACTTAACTTCTCTACTCATTGTGGTGCTGTAGTTTTTGTAGACATTACTACACAGTATTTTTCATTCACCTTGTACCCTTTTTCTCAACTCACTTTTGTCCTGTAAAGGGGTTGGTTGTCATCATGCCTATTTAGGAATAGTGTGGTTTTTTGGGGTTTAAAAAAAAAAAATTTTATGGACACAGAAATTGGACTTTTTCCAGCTTCGTATGCCAAGATTGAAAGCGGTTTGGTGCGAGCCAATCTCCAATGTCGGTCGGGCCAATTACATTCTGTGAGATTCTGTTGGGGTTCATCTGTGGGGCTTGTCAATTAGGAAATAATTGAATTAATTAGGCTGGGGAGGGGGTGGATGGTGTTCTGATCTACGTAGGCTGAGTTCCTCTCAGTTTTGGGGGAAGAGTTTTTATATGATTGGAGAGAAAAAATCTGAATGAATGATTTTTTTCATTTTGGATTAACTTGGAAGAATGCTCCAGCCTTCATTTTACCAAGTTTTATTTCATAATCTCTGTAAGGTTTCTTTCTTTTTTTTCTCTTTGGTGTGCAAGCAGGATAAAATGCAAAACATTTTTTAATGTGTTGGCTTGATCGTACAGCTAAAGCTAAGTATTTTTTATATGCTTCTAGACCAGTTTTTTCGTACACACAAATTACCCAGAGGACGCTGAAAGTAGAATTTAGGTGGCCCTGAGAAGCACCAAGTATTCTACACAAAAAAGTTTCAAATATGTTTGGGTTTTTTTAAGTAAAAGGGACAACTAGAGCACACCTGTCAAACTTGCTTAATTGTGCCAATGGGGCATATATAAAACACTTATAATTGCATCTACTGAAACCGTCGATAGATTATTTTTCCTGGTGCTGATTGCAACCAGTCCTGCATTTTGTGACTAGTTTTATGTTACAGGTAAATTCATACTCACGAGGTGGCTATGTGCAATTAGAGGTCGTTCTAGTGGACCACATTCCAGACCATAATGATGCTCTCTGCTCTTCAGTTCTTTTTCTTTGCCATGCCAGTAGATTCAGCTTTTATTCTCTCTGATTTGGTTGTTGTTTTTTTCGTCTATATGTCTGTTATTTGTTTTCTCGGGGGAAGTATTTTAGAGAACTGTCTGTATGACCTTCTGCAGGTTCTTGATATAAGAAATTTTTTTTTTATTGGGGGGGGAGGGGGGTTGGCATTTTTGTGTTTATTCTATTGAGAAAGTCTCAGAAATTTGCATCTTATCAATTTCTTTTCAAAGATGAGGTAGAAAAATTACATTTATGGTCTAACGTTTGCCAGTTCTGTTCTCAGTTTTGTGTTTATTTAACCAGAAAACTTACTTCCAGATTAGTCTACATTGGTACCGTTGCCTTTTCCTCACAAGCCCCACTGCCTACTCCTATAGTTTTGTAATTGGCTTTGGTTTTCAATCTTCTTCTTTCCCATATTAATTTGGTTCTGAGTCATTGGGTCGAACGATCCTTCGCTGAAAATCTACACAGAGGCCAAAGTTGATTTCAACCCATCTTATGAATGTGCTTTTTCAGCAACTTTTCCCACCAATTCTTGAAGTGTTGAATCCCCTACATCAGGGGTCTCAACCTCAAATTACGCGAATGCCAGTGGAGAAAACGTGAATACAATTCCTGTGTGGGGGTTTTTAAAATAAAGAATACCAATGTCTGCTGGGATGTTGCATCCCTACCTGTCCGGGTTGGCCGTGACCGACAGGATCTAAGCAACCCACCTATTGAATTGGGTCGATAGGTGTGTAGATTTGTTTTACTACCTTTTTAACATTTGTTACTAGAGCCACTTTCAGGTATCCGAGTCCTTTGGTGGACAAGAGGCCCATTGTCCTGCAAAACCTTGTGAATATTTTCACCATCTTCTTGATCTGTGTTGAGTGCTGATTCTTTGGTAGGCATGCACTTATTGTCGAGGCGTCTTTTGTATGTCATCATGTCCTTTTCTCAGTTCAGCGTTGTGATTTAATTTTTGTCACTTATATTGTGATGCTGAGACGGGGGCTGAGAGTAACCGTCTTCTTCTGTTTCAAAATATTCCTTATCAGTTTATCTTATCCCCATCACGACTTTTAGTATTGATGATACCATGTGTGCTGATGATCGAGGAAAAAAATGTGTTGTCAGGTGTTTTGGTCAAGTGTTTGAAAGAGGAGTGAGTTTTAGTTTTATGGATGTTGTGGGGTGACAGGGAACACTCTGTGAGCCTGATGGTGCGTTTTGAGGCTCTAAGGTCGAGCAACATCGTCTTGACTGTCTCATACTTGCTAGTATTATTATTATTATTGACATGACACTGCCTTGTGGTAAACACAGACATGACATAGCATTTGTTGGGTGACATAGCATTTGTTGGGCTTGTGTTGTAAAGTGAAGTGTTTTATTAGCTCAATTTCGTCCTCAAGTCACATTTTTGCTTTCTTTGGGGATTTTTTTTTTTCCCTGAACAGAATGAGATTATTGTTCGAGTGTGTATGGCGGAGGTTGTTATTTTCATCTTAATCAACAAATATCATATCAAGCTACAAAGTTGCACAAACTTTGTAGAATTTTAGTTTATAGAAATTTCTATGATGGCATGGCTAAAAAAAAGGGTGGGGAGGTGGGGTGATCA